CCTTAGGGTTTCTCCACTTAGTTGCCTTATACAAAAATAGCCATATTACGCATGCAAAGTATCTTGGTAAAACAAACAAAATCAAAAGATCATAGTCCCTCGATGACGCTATTCAAAGTTGCCTTACAAAATGATCTTAGTCCCTCAAAAATGCTAAGATACTTTGCATCATTGCTAATCATGGTTACACGATGACCCACGCCCGTCCCGTTTACATCCAAAGATAGGGTTGTTTACCAAATCCATGGTAAGACAACAATGTCAAAGGAATAGAGAATGCACAAGAAAGACATTTGAGTAGGTAAATTGCTCCCAGTTACTGGCTCTATTTTCAAACAAATTTCCTTACTATTTTCAAAACAAACACACACATTTCCAAACAAACATTAAAAACATTTTCAAAAAGACAAACATCTTTGTATACATTCTTACGAACGAGAATCATTACAAATATTTCCTAAACAAAGGGCCTATTTTACAAAATACTTTTAAAACCACACCAAACACATTTCAAAACAAAAAGCAAGTGATCTAGCAAGTAACTAAGATCCCATGGAAAATCATGAATGAAAAGGGTGCTAACCCTTTTCATAATCTACCCCCTGAACTCAAGAAACAATCTCAAAGGTCTTTCCTATGTTTTTTCACCTTTCCTTTTGGATAAAAGAAAAGTCGGTGGCGACTCTTGCTAACTGCAACATTTGCAAACACAAACGCAAAACCTCAAGTCAGTTCTCCCACCGCATCATAATGGGCATTACAGGAGACATTCACTGATTTGGTTAGGTGTGTATGTCAAGTATAGCTGGTCGAATGACAAGCGCCATGGTTGACCAGAGTGTTGGGTCGCTGTTGTTGAGTCGTGCCAAGGGTAGAAGCAGATTGGGCCAATTCTAGTCATTGGGCCAATCCAGAACATCATCCTTCAAATGGATGCAGTCTTCTGTCGTGTGCCCGTGACTCTTGTGGAACCAACAGTACTTAGTTTTGTCTGTCCCTAGTTTAGACAGTGTTTGTCGAGGAAATCAGACCTCTGCTTGATAGAACTCAGAGTTAGTGCAGTCGGTCAGGATGCGCTCGCACGAAGTGTTCAAGGGTGTGTAATCATGGAAACGACCAGTTGGCCCCTTGTAGTCCCGCGAATCATGGGGTTTATTCTCCTTTTTCTTTTCTTCTCCCTGACGAGATATCGAGGGCTCGTCACTCTTTGAGAATTTTGCATTCTCTCGATACCGTGTGTCTCGTGCTTTGTTGGTATCTTCTTTCTCTTCGTACTGGATGTACGCATGTGCCTTGAGCAGGAAGGCATCCAATGTTGCAGGGGTTTCTATGCCAAATGCCTTATCAAAGCCGTTGCGGGGGCGTAATTCTCGCTCGAGGAGGTATTTCTTCATCTTGTCAGTCGTGGAGACTTGGACGACTTCTTTGTTGAACCTCTATATGTATGCTTGGAGGGATTCATCTCTCCCCTAAATGATGGTTTCCAATTATGCTTCTGATTTAGGGTGATGTCAAGATGTTGTTAAGTGCTTGGAGAATTTCTTCCCCAAATTATTTTAAGATGTGATTGACTCAACGAGTAGGCTTTTGTACCAAGCCATAGCCCCCTTCCGAAGAGTGGTAGAAAAGAGTCGATATTTTATTGCTCCTTAGAAACCTCTGTAGTCGAGCAAGGCATTGATATTCTCGACTTGCTCATCCGGATCTGCAGTCTCATCGTATGTCCCCAGATTTGGTGGTTTCTCCAGCCCGACATGGAGTGTAGTCTCCATGATTTCTCTAGATAATAGGTCATAGGGCTCGTCGTCGTCACTTTGATCTGGAAATTGGGGCGGAAAATAATCATTTCTTCCTCGACGGGGGTTGTTGTCCTGACGAGGAGATATGCTCCTCTGTTGGTGTTTTGACTTGGGTGGAGGTGAATGGTTGTTGTCTAGTTGTTGACTACCTTTTGTCTTCTTGGTGACTAGGGAGCGTCGATCCTTTCAGAGAGGAGTACGACCCTATTTCTTGAGAAACGAAACTTCAGGTTTTTCGTGCACGATATGGCGATCACACCTTGACGGGGATGGATTGCGGGAATCATATCGTATGTATCTTATAGGATGATACTTTGAGTGGCATTTCTTTTCCTAATATCCAATCTTGTTTCTTTGTTGAAGAATCAGAGTGTTAGTCTGATTAAGCGCAGTGAGCAAAGATGCCATGGTCGGGTCAGTGTTGGCTAATATTGGAACCGATTAGAGAATCGCATAAAACTCTTCTAAGATATTCTTGGACTTCTCATTCTCCAATAATGGTACTTCGTTATCCTCTGCCTCAATCAAGGAGGGAGATTCAGTATGGCCATCTCTCTTATTGGGGATGTCTTCAAGGAGGGCCAGTTTCCCGTTTTCGTCCTTCTTGCGGACAGGAGAGAGCACTGTTTTTCCAAAAGAGTGATTGTCATCGTGATCGGCCATGATAAGTATCTTTAACTGTCGCTTTGATCTTTAGTTTTGAGGAAAGAAAGATGAGGGAGAAAATATTTCCACAGACAATGTCATTGATCTTACCGGTTGATCAGAACCTGAAGTGGGACGATATATGACGTCTACAAGGTTGTAATCAACGAGGAGGAGGGGTGTAGCTGCAAGGAACTCCTATGATCAAGTAAGTAAGAATGCAAAGAGATACAAGAAAGAGATTATGATTTTTTAGAATGAATATTCAATACCTGACCCTCACAGGTGTGAGGATTTATATAGTACCCTCGACGCTTGGCCATTGGTTCCTATTTTTGGGCATGGATATCAAGTTTCTCAAAAGTAGGTAACTGTCAGTAACTAGCCATTGTAACGGGTAGAGATGCTTGGAACTAGCCGTTATAACGAGCATAGAAGTGTTTCACGAGCGAGCATGATTTCTGGTTGTTCCTGGGTGGCCATCCTCGTGCGATTGGCAGGACGAGGACTAGCCTATTTGGCGGGCAGAAGTGGCCTTGCAGACCTGGGGGTCAACCGACCAGGTCTCCTCGAGTGAGGGACAGAAGAGAAAAGTTCACCTTATCCATCATGGTTTATTAGGCCAATGTTATTGAGCCCTGCTTAGTCGTTTGGGTCAGTCCCAAACAAGAATTCTTGCCTTAGATTAGAGGCCATAAGGATACTTTTAACTTTTTCATTCTTTTTAAATTTCAAAATTTTCCAAATGGATTTATAGAGTGTGTTCTTGAACAGTTACATCTAAGAATAATTGTATGTTGATCAAGCTACCGAATTTCTAAACTTATCTTTTCGTAATCATGTATTCAGGTTAACAAAGACTTTATGTGGTGTTAAACAAGCCCCCGAAACTTAGTATGAACATTTGAGCAAGTTTCTACTTGAAATTAATTCTCAATTAGGAGAGGTTGATACAACATTTTTTATTAATAAAACCAAGCATAACATTTTACTTGTCAAAATATATGTCGATGATATTATATTTAGTGTTACTAACGAGTCCTTGTGCAAGGGTTTTTTTATATGATGTAGAATGAGTTTGAAATGTCTATGGCGAGGGAGATTTTGTACTTTATTAGGTTACATCATTTATCAATCAAAATAAGGAACCTTCATCAACCTGGCTAAATATTTTAAAGATTTATTTAACTCCAATGAGAACTTCATGCAGTTTAGATAAGGACAGAAAAGAAAAATCAGTCGAAGAAAGCAAATATCGAGGTATGATAGGTTTCCTTATTTATCTTACTATATTTTGTCCTTATATTATGTTTGATATGTGTATGTGTTCACATTTTCAAGAAAGTCCCAGATAATCACACCTCCCCGTGGTCAAACGCGTTATGAGGTATCTCATTAGCACACCACTTATAAGTCTATGGTACTTCAAAGGAATATTTTATACTTTAGTTCGGTACTTTGATTTTGAATTTTATTGTTGTAAATTGGATAAAAAAGTACCAATGATACATTTCATTTGTTTGGAAACCTGCTTGTCTCCTACCATAGCAAGAAACAAGCAAGTGTTATGTTATTCACAAGTGAAGACGAATATGTCATGGCATGTAGTTGTTATGTGCAAATTATCTGGATGAAACAATAGTTAAGTGATTACGGAGTTAACTTTGATTTTTTCCCGGTAAAATGTGACAACATTAACACCATAAATCTCACAAAAAATATGGTATTTAACTCTCGGACTAAACATATGGAGATTAGGCACAATTTTATCTATGATCATGTCAAAAAAAAAGGGATTTTGTGAAATTTTTTCCCCATCTTACCAACTGGATATGTTTTTACAAAACAAGTTCCTAAAGAAAATTTCATTTTTATTTGAGTTGAGTTATGGATCTTAAATCAATCATGCACAAATAAAATATGTTTAAGTGCTTTTTTTCTCTTTCTTTTTCCCTTTGGTAGTATTATATGTATGTTCCATGTGTTGCTTGTTTATTCTGCTTTTTTGATAATGTCAAAGAAGTAGAAATATACTCTCATAAGGAGTAGATTATATTGTCTTTATCTCTAAAGATAGTTAACCACTCAATATATTTTATCTATCTCTTTTTAATTTTCCATCCCTTAAGAGATGTGTTATAATCATTAAAAGGGCGGAGAATTTGGTTTTATTGTGTCGAGTTTAGGAGTAGTAAGGGAATACCAAAGTCATTTTCTCTCATCTCTGACATCTTTGTATATCTCATTTTTAACATAATTTTCTTAAAGTTAGAAAATACGATTCAATAATACTTTGCATAATCTTTGGGTTTGATACTTGGTGTTCTCACCATTTTATTATTAATTACAACAGTTCAATACACAGGTTGAAAATTCTATCAATTATTCCAAATAGCGTTAATAATGGCGTATGGAGATATTGAGCTATTAAATTAAGAAAAACATAAATAAATAAATAAATAAATAAATAATGTAAAGAGATAAAATTCATAAAATAGTTTGATGAATTAATCTATCATATAAGAAAATTCACTATTGATTTTCTCTTAATTTGCCATGTGGATATCTCACAGCTCACCTAAATTGCATTTCTCAATTGTTCCTCATTTATTATTTCCACTTCCAATCTTCCACTCCAATCTTGCCCAACTTTCGGTTTTGCAATTGAACGTTTCACTCTCCTTATTCTATATTCAAAAACTTTTTCATCACCCATTAATCTTCTATAGCAGTTTCAAATGTGGTTCCTCCTTTCTCTCTTCCTTCGTTCTTCCTCTTCCTCACAGGACTCCAACTCTCTCTCCTTTTCTCTTTCTACTTCATCTCTCTGCATTCATATCTTTCTCTCGCTCAAATTTCTTTTGTATCTCCTCTCTGAACTTAATTGCCTTTCCACCAAAACCGTGAGATTGCATTTGAGAAGCCGGATCTAAAGTGTATTCACTGTTGAGTATTCTACGGCATCGAATGTTAGGATAAGGAAATAATGAGATTCACGAAACTAATCAAATCTCTCATGGTGTTCATCGAACGTGAAGCGTGCTCGACCAAATCAAAATGAAAAGAGGATCGCAAAATCAATAGACAATAAAAGATAAGTTTTCTCCTTTTCATTTCTAGTTAGTTATGAGTTTTGTGAGTATTTTAAGAATTTGAGACTGGAAATTAATATTGGGATATTACGATCATCACTGTCGGATTATCGATTTATACTATTTTGCCTTTAAAAAGGGAGTGGTCTGAAGGCTATATTTCCTTATTCACAGATTGATAAACTTGATAAATGCGCTTATTATTTAGTTGTATGATGATTCAGTAATGTTCATCACCATTTGGGTCATCATTTTACTGCCGGATCCTATACTAGACGAAGACGATAACTTGAATGTTGATAGTTACATTCGTCGTGACATGATCTTGGAAGTTAGACAATACTTTTGAAGAGCATGTGGAATGAAAATGCAGGTTATGGATTAAAGATATCGAAATTACATCAATACCAAAATGTTGTGATCATAATTACATTTTTCTCAATTTTATCGAAATTACAGATCTTGTGCATAATTACACACATTGTATAACTACTCTTTTCTACAGGCATACAATTTGTCTAGAGACCACAAGCCTGATCTTGAGATTGAGAAGGAAATAATTTCAAAAGTTGGTGGTTTTATTCTTGCAGGAACGGTAAATGGCAGTTTAAACCTTACAAGAGCTTTAGGAAACTTACCTATGGTACTTTTCTTATGCTTTCATATGTCCATTTGATTATGAACATTGTGATCTCTTAGAGATCAATAATTTTCTCAATAAAATGTTATCTGCTAAAATATTGTTTAAACTTGGTTTGATTTTGAAATATTTTGGTTGCACATGCCCCTTCGCACTTCCTGTTTTAAAGTAATCATTGATTTCATTTGATTGTTTCAGGGACTGTTTGTCAAGTCAACAATTGGCAGATTTTGTTCATGAACAACTGTTCAGTGAGATCTAAGTTTTAATTTATTTCCTATTGTTGATAATTGTTGTCATAATTATTCAAAGATTGGTTATACCTTATCAATGATATTGAATGCAATACTGGGTACTTTCATGGATAGTCATTATGCTATTTTCCCTAGCATGTCATGTTTCTTTGCCATGGACAGCTTGCACTAATCTTTATAACCATTTTCTTTTATTGAACCAGCCTATTTGTTAGATTATTTTCGTATTAGTCGCCATGTGTATACAGTGTATACAAAGGTCTTTTTTTGTAAGAGATCGATTGTCTATATAGAGGTCTTATTAGTGTTCAACTGGCTTAGTTTGTTTTGATTGGGAGCTTTTTGATACTATTTAAGAATTGTGTGTAATTGAATTGGTTCTAAAATAAAGTCTAATTTATTGAAACAATCAATGTTAATATTATTATTAATTGTTAGAATTATACTGGGAGTGGAAATTGAGCTATGAACCTCCTTATTAGGTTCCATTGTGTTGTTTTTCGTTCTCTTTTTCACTTTACCTGGTATGCAAAAGGTTATAATGTTACTCCGTTTATATTTTTACTCTGCAGGTTATGAAGTGTACTTATGAGGTTTTGAGAATGACATGGATTATGAACTCGCCTTATGTTGTAACGTAAGTTAAGCCGATACCTCAGTAAATTTTAATTTCAAATAAATGTGGTATTAAGTGGTCTGAGATTCAGGAAGCAGTTTTTATTTCAATGTGTACCCGAAACTTTACTTCTAATGTGATCATTTTCAGGTTTCATTTCGTAATTATTTACTATGCCTACTTCTAAAGTGAACAAAAGTTTCTATGATTCTCTGTTTCCACCGAAGAATTACACACCACTTCACGATTTCGATCCATTTCTCAATTTCATCATTCCATCACTCTTTTACTATAGATTATTAATTTTTTTCCCTATTGATCCGTGTATTTCACATTTTTGGTTGAATCGCTTTGAAATTGATTGAATCGATTTGAAATTGGTGACTCAATTCAGTTACACTATTTTATTGTAGGAATTCAACATCGAGAAGTTGAAATTGGTTGAGGCTGATAACAAGAAGATCTGTCAAGAGTATGAACGTAAACAGAAGCAAGTCGATGTTCGGAAGAAAATGTAACTACTCTATTCCTTGTACTTGATTTTGTGTTTTCATCTCTAAATTCATATAACTCGTAAGTTTATTTTATCAGCGGTCATGAACGTATATAAATTTACATATTCAAATGGTTTATGGTGATGATGTACCATACCAGTATTGGACCAGGCAATACTGCAATAAGTGAATTGGAACATATTGTGTTGGAAACTTAATATGAATTGAAAGAGTCATCCTATTTTTATGGGAGTTAACTCTAGTATAATTAATTATTATTATTAATTAATTATAAATTAATAATGAGTAATACATCAAAATCTAGTTTTAATTAAGTAACTCCCTCCCACTAAATTTTCTCGACTCTCCCATTATTTTCTCTCCACTACTTTTATCTATTAATAAGGTTCCTAAGTTCAGTGGTAAGATACTTAAGATTTCTAAACTTTTGGAGTCTCTCTTCTTCCTCTATGTTCTTTTCATCTCACTAAAATTCTTTCTTCTTTGTTTTTTCGAGTGGCCTTTTGTGCTATTAACGACTGAAATTACTTCAAATACTACAAGTGGTTTAAACACCATTAGAAGGTGTATTTATTTGAACGATTCATCACAATGCAAGTGATAATTTTAATCATTTTGTGAACGAGTTGTTTTATCCTAAAGGCGTCGTAGTTATTAAGATCTGCTTTGCATAATTTTGGCAGTACCACGAAACGTCTTAAAGAAAGTGTATTGTTCCGTGACTCAGCCGATAACTTCCTCTGTGACAATTTCCTTTTCAAAAACCGAAAACAACAATTTTAAGACGTTCCTTTAAGTTCCATGGATACTGAGGAAATTATTGGTACTACTGCAGCTCCTACTGTCTCTGACAAACCATTTAAGTTTGAGGGTTCTAATTTCAAATGTTGGCAAGCTAAGATGAAAATTTTCTTAACTTTAAAGAAGGTTTCCCATGTTCTGACTGAGGATACCCTTGTTACTCCTTCTGGATCAATTGAACTAACTAATGGTAAGACATTTGTTGAATCAGACGGGACTCCAAAATTGTCTGACTTAGACTCTGCTGCAAAAGCTAAAGCTGCGCCAGATGATTTACAGCTCAGGAAAGAAATCACCCTAGGGCAAGGTAATGATTATCTTTGCAAGAAACACATTTTGAATAGTCTCTCTGACGACCTGTATGATTACTATGGTAATTATGAGACTACTAAATAGGTATGAGAGGCTTTGTAGAAGAAATATGATACTGAAGAAGCAGATGCAAAGAAATATGTTGTCAGTCACTATTTGAACTATAAGATGGTGGATAAAAAATATGTGGAAGCTCAAAGCCACGAAATTCAGAAGATTGCTCATGAAATTATTATTGAAGGTATGCCCCTCAATGAACAATTTCAAATTGCTGTTATCATTGACAAACTTCCCCCTGGTTGGAAAGATTTTAAAAATGTGCTTCGCCATAAAATAAAAGTTTTCAATTGAGAGTCTGATCACTCACCTATGAATTGAAGAGGAAGCTAGAAAACAAGATTAGAAGGATGAATTCTTAGTTATTTCTAACAACAAACAAGATTCGATGCGGCCCTGAAGCCTACGGGAAAACCATTAAAGAATCTGAACCGCAATGTTGTGAACCGAATTAAGAATGGAATCCCTCAAGGGGCCCATTTGCTCTAATTATTAGACAACAACCACCAACTCAAAGAAATGACGCTCCGGTTTTCACTTGCTATAATTATGGAAAACCGGGTTATATGGCTAAAAGATGTAAGAGCAGGCTCAAACCTATTGGCTCTAATGCACAGGTTAACCCGTCTGATGAGCAATTTATTGTTATGATCACTTAAATCAACATGGTTGGTGGTAGTGATGGTTGGTGGGTAGACACTGGCGCCTCCCATCATGTCTACTATGATCGTGCTATGTTCAAGACATACATGAATGCTGAAAATAAGAAAGTTTTGTTGGGAGATGCTCACACCAATGATGTTGCTGGAATTGGAGACATTAAATTGAACTTCACCTCAGGAAAGACTTTAATCTTGAAGGACGTCATGCATGTTCCTGAACTTAGAAAGAATCTTGTTTCTGGTTTTCTTTTGAATAATGTATGGTTTAGTCAGTCTATAGGGGCATATTTGTACATCATCACTAAGAATGATATTTTTATTGGGAAAGGATACGCCACTGATGGCATGTTTAAGTTTAATGGTTATTTGAATAAAATTTCTCCTTCAATTTACTCTGTGTGATTTTAATATTTGGCATGCTAGACTTTGTCACGTTAATAAGCGAGTTATTTTCAATGCAAGAAACTTAGGTTTAATCCCTAAATTAAATGTCAATGATTCAAATAAATGTGAATATTATAGTCAAGTTAAAATAACTAAGACTTCACATAAATCAATTGTTAAAGAATCTAATCCCCTAGATCTTATACAGTATGATATATGTGAATTAGATGGAACTTTAACTAGAAATAGTAAATATTATTTTATCACTTTTATTGACGATGGTTTTGATTATACTTAGGTATACTTAATGAAAAATAAAAGTGAAGCGCTTGACGTGTTTAATATGTATGTAACTGAAATTGAGAATCAACTTAATAATAAGATTAAGAAACTTCGTAGTGATAGGGGAACTGAATATGATTTTGGTTTATTTAATGATTTTTATAAAGAACATCGAATTATACATGAAACGATTGCTCCATATTCTCCTGAAACGAATGGTAAAGCAGAAAGAAAGAATAGAACTCTTATTGAACTTGTTGTTACAATTATGATGAACTATGGTGTTGCACCTCACTGGTGGGGGGAAATTTTATTGATTGTCTGCTATATCCTGAATAGAGTCCCCGAGTCAAAAAGTAAGATCTCTCCTTATGAGATATTAAAAAAAAGACAACCAGACTTGTCTTATTTGAGAACTTGGGGTTGTCTGACTTATGTCAGAATTCTGGATCCAAAACGAGTTAAACTTGCTAGTAGAGCATATAAATGTGTATTTACTGGGTATGCAACATGTCATACCCCAAATTTACCCGCCCTTTATTTCTATAGTCAACAATATTTTCAACATTAGTTTTTATAATATTCTTTGGTTCAATTTTACTAAAATTTTAACAATAATTTATTTCGCTCATTTAAAAATGTATAATAGTTTATTTCAAATTATTTGCATTTTACATGGCAAATACTTGTTCACTTTCATATATTTTTAATTGGGTTTTTATTTCAAATAAGTAACATAACACATTCGGTAAGAAATGAAGCTTTTAAGTATGAGATCGTGAGTTTGAATCTCTTAGTGTTGCATTTTTAACATTTTTTTTTCTATTTTTTGTTACTAACTTTCTTTCCTTTTTTAGAGATCGGGCTTTGGATTTTTTTTGGTTTTTGGATAACTTTCTTAAGTTTTTTTAACCTAATTCTAAATCTATAAATAGGACTATCATCCAACATAATTTTTGATCCACGAGTCCATGATTTCATAATCTCATTCTTTCTCTCACTTCTGATTTATTTCAGGGTTTCTGAACAGAAACTCTAAGAAACATATCTAGAAATCCACAAATTTCCACTTACACACAACTAACATTTTCTCTCTTGGTGTATTTAGTTTATTTTAGGGTTGTTGTCTTTAACAGACAATGGTAACAAATAACCACAATTTCTTTGACTCACTTTTTTCGAACATTTCAAATTTTCTTCGATTTTTAACCGATGATTATATATGAGACCCTCTTTACTATTTTCAATTTTATCTATTAATTTTAATTTGGTTCTCGTTTAGTCAAGTGATGATCTTATAGTGATAGTTATTATTATTATCTTTGAATATACAATATTCATAATTTCCAAAATCACACTAATAATTCTTTGTTCTAACCCTTATTTTAAAACCAACGCATATATTACTATCATCTTTGTTCGTTACTGTAAACAAAATAATCACGCTCTTGTACACTATTTTTTGTGACTCATTCCACTAACTTTTATATCCATAACCTGTAACAAATATGTCTAACATAAACTTCACATCACGTTTTTATCACAAAACAAAATCATTCTTATATCATCATCGTCAATTTTCAAATCCAAACACAATTATGCTTACAATGTCAAACTCTATCATAAGCCACCGTAAAATAATACTACCAAACATGAATTTTCTAATAATCACTAACAATAAAAAAAATCTACAACAAAGTTTATGCAATATCCAATCTGAAATCTTTTTGCATGAAAAATAACAGGAGAAAAAGAAAGATGGTTTCTCGAGTTCGAATACTCGTAGCCATACTCTTTAATACTCTTTAATCAAATCAAAATTCAAAACAGTTAACCAACGATCAAACAATTTTCTACTAACATGATAAAATCCAAGAAATTTTCGAAAAAGAATTAAATAGAATTACTTTCAAAATTAACTGTGAACTGCATCTACGATCACTTAACTTACAACCCAGACAAGATTCAAGGATAATTTGAAATCAATTCTATGCAATCCTATAAAAAACACCAACCAACACTACGAACTACAAATTGAGACTCTAATTCCTAATTTGAAATCAATTCTATGCAATCCTATAAAAAACACCAACCAATACTACGAACTACAAATTGGGACTTTAATTCCTCATAAAAGGTTACGTAGGCACGCGACTTAAAATCGTTGCGAATCCCCTAACTAAAAAATTAAAATCATATTCCTAAACCTTAAACTTAAACCCTAGTATCTTTATGAACAAGGTAGATGAAGGGTTCCTAACACCTTCCCTTCGTCTAAAGTGAGTCAAGAACTTAGAATCTTTGTATCCAAATTAGGGTTATCTGTTATATTCCCTTCCTTAGGATAAAAGTAATGGTGGCGACTCTATATTTTTTGTCGGTTATTACACAACAAACAGTAAAGCATATATGTTTTATGACCTAAATGCAAAAGTGATCATAGAGTCAAATGATGTTGAATTCTATGAAGACAAATATCCTTTCAAATCGAGAAATAGTAGGGGCCCACAATCGAGTCACATTCCTGTGATATGAAACATAAAAAGCAACGACAATGTAGAAACAGAACTTCGACAAAGTAAAAGAGTAAGAGTTGCTAAATACTATGGGCCCGATCATGCAGATTATAATGTAGAAGAAGATCCAATAAATCTTCAAGAAGCCTTGTCATCTCTGGATGTTTATTTATGGCAAGAAGATATTAATGATGTGATAGAATCTCTATAATCTAACAAGACCTGACACTTGGTAGACTTGCCTCTTGGGTGCAAACCAATCAGTTGTAAATGAGTGTGATGCGGTAGGAGAACTGACTTGAGGTTTTGCGTTTGATCGCAAATGTTGCGGTTAGCAAGAGTCGCCACCGACTTTTCTTTTATCCAAAAGGAAAGGTAAAAAAGCACAGGAAAGACCTTTGAGATTGTTTCTTGAGTTCGAGGGGTAGATTATGAAAAGGGAAGGTATTAGCATCCTTTTCATCCATGGTTTTCCATGGGCTCTTAGTTACTTGCTAGATCACTTGCTTTTGTTTGAAATTATACTTTGTGTGATTTTTGAAAGTATTTTGTAAAGAGGTCATCGTTTAGGAAATCTTTGTAATGATTCTCGTTCGTAAGAATGTATACAAAGATGTTGATCTTTTTGACAATGTTTTCAATTTTGTAAGATGTTTTGAAATGTGTAGGTGTTAGTTTTGAAAATAGAAAAGATGTTTTGTTTTGAAATGGAGCAAGTAACTAAAATCAATCTACCTACTCAAATGTCTTTCTTGTTCATTTTCTTTTCCTTTGACATTGTTGTCTTACCATTGATTTGGTAAGCAACCCTATCTTTGGATGTAAACGGGACGGGCGTGAGTCATCGTATAGTCATGATTAGCAATGTTGCAAGGTATCTTAGCATTTTTGAAGGACTAAGATCATTTTGTAAGGCAACTTTGAATAGCGTTATCGAGGGACTATGATCTTGTATTTGTTTGTTTTTACTAAGACACATTACATGCGTAATATGACCATTTTTTGTATAAGACAACCAAGTGGAATAACCCTAGGGGTGTTTTGTGTACAAGTGTGTCATTTTCATGCTTGATTTTGTCTTGAATTAGGGTTTCATATTTGATTGGTTTTATCTTGCCATACAAACCCTAATTACTAGCATGTTATGTAAAAGCGATAAATTGCGAAATTTAAAGTTACTACG